ATGAAGTACACTGCTGAAGGGAGCAGCGGGCGGGCCAGGAGAAGTCTGCCACACCATGTGGTCACCTCCGGGGCAGGTGGGAATCGAACTCATGCGGAGGCGGCTTTAGATTCTCAGTGCTGTGCTTTAACCCGCTGCACCACCAGGGTGGGTCGGAATTTTTTGATTTTTAATAGAATGTTTTTGTTTATACATTTATGCAGATTTTCTGTATTATCTTGAGATAATGTTGGTAGTTAGTGTATTTCTAGGAATTTGTCTTTTTTTTCTAGGATATTTATTGTCATGCAGTTAATTGCTCATAGTATTCCCTTTATATCTCTTTGAACTTCTGCAAAGTCAGTAATATCCCCCATTTCATTCATGATTTTAGCAATTTGAGTAGTATCTCAATCAGTTTAACTAATGGCCTATTTTGTTGATCATTTTAAAATATTTTTAGAAGATTTATTTATTAATGCATAAAGAACCTGGGTACAGGCCAGAGGTATAGGGGCAGTGAGAGGATTCACCAGAGACAGAGTAGGAAGCAGAAAGGCAGATTGACAAAGTACACTGCTGAGGGGAGCACTAAGCAAGACAAGAGAGGTCTGCTGTACCATGTGCATCATCTCAGAAAGGGTTGGAAACCAACTCCCATTGAAGAGGCTGTGGCCAGTTTGCAATGCTGCACTTTAACCCATTGTTCTACCATGGAAGTCCTAAAGAACCATTATTGTTTTATTTTTTGATATCTTTCTATTCACTAATTAATTTCCACTCTAATATCACTCCCTTCCTTCTGTCACATTGGGTTTACTTTGCTCTTCTTATATTCTAAAGGTGGTAGTTTATTTTTTTAATGTAATTGTTTAAATATGTAAATACATACATATTTATAAATGTATATTTATAAGTATATAATGAATAATAGTACTTCTATAAATATAAATAAATAGTACAAATATATCAGGCCATCGCATTCCATAGTTTAAGTATATTTGTATGTTCTCAGCATACCCAAAGTAGGGAGCAGAAAAGGAAGATCAACGAAGTACACTGCTGAGGGAAGCAGTGCGCCAGGCAGAAGCGGTCTGCTGCCCATGTGAGTCACCTCCAGGACCGGGGATCAAACTCTCACTGAAGCTGCCACTGCCCATTTGCAGTGCTGCGCTTTAACCCGCTGCACCACCAGAGAGGGCTTTATGTTACTTTTTTAAATGACGAACTTAGAATCTGTACTTCATTATCAGTAAATCAGTATCTGTACTTCATTCATATAAAATTATTTTCTAATTTCTTTAGATCCATTGTATAGTTTAACTTCCACACTGCTTGTAAATTATTAAATTAGTATTAATCCAAGTTAGGTTGCCATCCATTTAAACTGTTAATGATAATCCATAGAACAACCACTAGGAAAATTGCTTTTCTTCAAATAGACCAGCTGCACTTTCAGCTTAATCACATTCATAATTTAATCTGTACTCTCTCCTACACTAAAATGTAAATAAATGACAAGGCTTTTTTCTTTGCAGATTTAACTTAAGGACCTAAAATATTGTGTGGCACACAGTAGACTCTTTAAATATTTGTTGGATAAAAGTTTGAGTACAATAATTGAATTTGCTTCTAAGGTATTCAGCTTTTAGATACTAGGAAGAATACAAAAAAAACAGACATCCAGCCATAGGAGACACCACAGAAATTCATTCTGAATTACCAAAATGGAGCACAACATGAGAGTCTGGCCAAATATCTCTGGTAGACGAGACATATTTAATATGTTTTACTAAACACCAGAATTTAATCTAGAGAGTGGGCTGAGATAGGGATAAAGTATATCATTTTGTAGGGAAAGATTTAACTAATATTAAACCCTGCCTGAAATTCCCTTAAGAACATGATTTCAAAGGGCAAAAACATCGAATAGCAGAACTTGAGGAATGTGGATGTGCACTTGAAAATATCATTCCTGACTCTCCCTGGTGGCGCAACGGTTTAAAGCACTGCATTATGAAGCTCTCCAAGGCTACTGCAGCATGAATTCTACCCACCAGGGAGCTGACCAACAGGGTGTGGCAGACCTCTCCTGACCCGCCCACTGCTCCCCTCAGCAGTGTACTTCATCTATCTGCCTGTTCTGCTCCCCACTCTGTCTCTGGTGAATCTTCTCACCCACCACACCCCTGGCCTGTACCCCAGTTCTGTAAGCATAAAAAAATCTTTTAAAAAAGACATCATTCCTACTAGAATTCATTAAAGACTTGCTAAATAACAATTTAAAAAAATCAGTGTCAAGATTTTTAATGTTGACAAAGATGTGATAAAATAGTCATTGTATAAATAAATGATAGAATTGTGACAAACTTTTTTCAGTTAAAAAAAATTGTGACATAATATCCATAACAAAAATTCACCTCTTTAAGCCATTTCTGTGTACAGTCAAATGGTATTGGGTGCATTCATATTGTGCAACCATCTCCAGAACTGTTTCAATACTATCATCCCTAAATTTTAAAAAGTACTTACGTCTACCTAATTATATAATTGGTGAATTAAAGGTGAATTAAAAAGAAAATCTTCACTCACCATCCTGAAGAGATTAGCCACACAGTATAAATGCAGGAAAAAGCACCAATTCCAGAGGTCCACTAATTTCTTGGGTGTACATTCAACCACATACTGAATTCTGCCTTTGAAATGGAAAAAAGTTTATAGCTCTCATTGAGGAGAGAATCCTATATCCTTGACTCAACCCTCTTCCATAATGTCAGATCTCATCTGTCTTTCAAATGTAAATCATACTGGGAAGATGCTGGTAGTTCTGCCCTCTTAGTCTGTGATAGCTGCCAGATAGTATTAATTCTCCTGGCTTTCACTAGGGTGGAGCTCTATGATTTGGGTCATGTCATTTTGAACTTGGCAGCTGTTTATGGACTGTGTGCAGAAAATAAAGCAGTCTGTAGTACCCTTAGAAACACCAGAACATGTTCTTGCTTTCAGGATAGTCATGCCCTTGACGTTCTCATTTAGGCAACAGAATCAAAAAAGGTACAGGATATTTATTGCCTGTGATCCTTTGAGTGGCCATAAATTCGAAGTTCAGTTTCCCACATTCAAGTTGCATTTAGAAATTCTCTTCTTGCTTGATTTCATACTCTGCTAATATAGATTCTCTCCTTTCTCCCTGCCTCTTTCCCATTTCATCATTCTCATACATTTGCCTGTTGATTCTCAAGTCACATGTGGTCTTTAACAATTAGCACAGAATACATTTTTGTTTATACATCATCACTTTGGAAAAACCTTTCCAATTTATGGGTGACTGACACAATTAATGTCATAGCTTAGAGCAAGAGAGTGTATCAGATTTAACTCAGTCTAACCCCTTTTTTCCAGATGGGGGGACTGAAGCTGTTATTTCCTCCATCCCAAATTAAGTGATTTATCTAGGGCTGTTTAGTGACCAATTCAGCTCAGAATATTATTTTCTGTCTCTCAATTCAGTGTTCTTTTCATTATACTGTGCTGCTGCCCCAAATCATTCAATATACCAGACCCTGAGGCCTATGAATTTCTTAGCTGTGTTCAGTACATGTTATTCCACCATCAAACAAGGCAGTACCTTGTGCCAGAGTACATATACTATGAAAATTTTATAATATGTTCTCATGTATCACTCACATAAAATACACACAAGATACATACACTCATATAAACATTAAGTATTAATACATTGTATAAAAGCATATTTTATGAAAATATTTAATATTCACTTTATAAATTTTTACTATAAAAATAGTAGCATTAGGTTTCTATTGTAACATGTCAATTACACAATTTAGTGATTTGAAATACACTTCTATTATCTCATAGCCTTCACGGGTCAAGATGTCTGGGCACAGATCTACTTAGGGTCTCACCAAACTGCAGTCTCACCCAAGGCTCAGGCTCCTCTTCTAGGTTCACCAGGTATTGGAAGAATTCAGCTCTTTTGATGCAGGAATAAAGGCTTTGATGCTTAGAGACCACTATTCCATGTCACAACACCTATTTTTTCTCTTCATGTACCAATTTATTTGTGCAAGGCCAATAGGAACATCTTCTTCTGCTTCTTCTGTCTCCATCCTTTAGATCACTTTCACTTGATCAGGTCCACCAAAGAGAATCTTCCTTTGATGAACTTAAAGTCAACTGACTGGAGGCCTTAATTGCTAAATTTCTTCACCTTCGTCATATAACCTAATCACAGAAATGGTATCCCATAACTTTCAAAGGTGCCATTCAAGGAGGGGGACTTATAGTAGGGATGGACACTGGCGGACTGAGTAGCAATAATACCTAATGGAAGGCATTACCTTCTCCTCACTTTCTCAGTATGCAAAACTTTACTGGGTCACCACAGAAAAGGCCAAAGTGCTCAAAAATCCACATTTCTAGAACAGTTACTGAGAGCTAAGTGAACTTTTTTTTTTTTTTGCTACAAGGTGATCACTGCAGTCTTTTTTTTTTTTTTTTAAGGATTAATCCTTAAAATTTTTTTTTTATTTATTTATGCATACAGAACCGGGGTACAGGCTAGAGGTGCAGGGGCAGTGAGGAGTCACCAGAGAGAGAGTGGGGAGTAGAACAGGATAACTGACGAAGTACACTGCTAAGGGGAGCAGAGGGTGGGTTAGGAGAGGTCTGCTGCACCATGTGGGTCACCTCTGGGGCAGGCGGGGATGGAGCTCATGCTGAAGTGGCTTTAGCTTCTTAGTGCTGTGCTTTAACCCACTGCGCCACCAGGGAGGACCAAAGACTTTATTTTTTTAAGATTTATTTTATTTATTTATGCATACAGAACCGGGATACAGGCCAGAGGTGCAGGGACAGTGAGAGGATTCACCAGAGAGTCGGGAGCAGACCAACCAAGTACACTGCTGAGGGGAGCAGCAGGCGAGTCAGGAGGACTGCTGCGCCATGTGGGTCACTTCCCTGGCCAGGATCCAACTTCCACTGAAGAGGCTGTGGCTGGCTTTGCAGTGCTGTGCTTTAACCGGTTGCCTCAAAAGGTCATTTAATTTTGCTTCACTGATGTCTTAATCCTTCTAATACTATTAGGTCCCAGTAAAGCAAAATAGTATTGTCTCTACCTTAGTATTTCCCAATCATGTCTAGTCCACTCATCATCTCTCCCTATATTCTTTTATGGGAGAAAACTGCCTCCTCCCTTTTATTCTTGCAAGAAACTCTTTCTGTGTGTTAGGAGTGGCCGACCTAAGTCTCACTAATTAGTTTCCTCCTCCTAGCCACAATTACACTTGGTGATTCATTAATCATATCAAATCTATTCTCATGGTTAGCTGTCCTCCATTAGACCTAGTGTGATTCAGCTCCATTTAAGACCTCTCCCGGTTTGTGGAAGCAAGCCATTATTTTTCTTTTTATCAACCACATCTTTAAAAAGAAAAACCATGCAAATTCACAAGGCCAAATTTTAGAATTAACTTTGGATATTAACACGGAAAGTTTCCCCATAGTTTTTGCAGGGTTCTATTTATTTTTTTACCATTAGTATATAGATTTCTCCTCCAAAAGTATGAACCTTTACAATGCTCAAAATTTTTTCAATTATTTTTTTCTTAGAAAACCTGTCAAAGTTTGTTTTGTGCTCAGTCTTTTCCCTTGTATTAGACTGCTTTGATTGCATGTAGCAAAAACAAGTTTCAACAAAGACAGAAAACCCTTGCAAGAAAACTGTGATGATTCATGTAAATAAGCCAATGAATTAAATTACAGTAGGAGCAATAAAACAATTCTATGTGCCTGTTCTAAGAAATTGAAGCAGCAATATAGCTACTAGTATGCACAAAGTTGATATACCATGAAATTATGGAAATTGCTTATAATACAATTCCACTGGAGTAACAGAGAGCTCACAAATGAAATTTAGAAAATATGGACAGAAATGCCAAAAAAATAAAAAAAACAGTTAACAGTGACTCCCTCTAGGAAGTAAGATTAGGAGAAGGGGAGGGTTATCAGTTGACAAAAAAAAAAAAAAGAAAAAAAATCATACTCCCTGTTACTTCATTTTCGATTCTAGCAGTTTTATTTTTAAAAACACATCCAATGACAACAATTTGGAGTAATTGTTTCTGTGTTCTTTATACTTCTACCCTCCATTTGAAAACGGCATACAGTCAAATGTATCTGGATCCATTCTGTGATGAGGTAATAATCCAAAAGGATCACTGGTTACTTCAAAAGAACCTGAAAGATGAGGAGAAGACAAACAATTCAGTTTAAATCATAAATTACATTTATTTGGCCTACCCTAAACTCTATGTCTAGTGGCTAGAGAGTCAAGATCAGTTTATAGGTACAGTACTCTCTACCTCATAAAGATGGTGCAAATACCATTTTTTTTATTTTATCCCTGAGTTATCTATTTCAGTTACACACCATTTATTTTCCTCAAAGTTAATAGGAACAACTAATATTTTACAAAATTCAACTCAAATTTATATTCTTACATTCTAAGAACTTAGAAATATTCAATTTCCACTGGTCCATCTCATCAAATTCTAAAATGTGGACCATCCATGTGTACTCTGATACACATGTCTGAAGGCAGATGCTGATTCAAAGGAAATGAAGCTGTTTACCCCAGGAGAGACAGGCACAGAGAATGCAAGTGAAAAAGGAGGAAACACAGAAAAAGCAGCAGGCAGGATTTAAAAAAAAATAATGGCAACACTGGAAAAGCAATTCTCAGAGGAACTACACGAAAGAGAAGCACATAGACTGAGGTGAGAGAAATACAAAGGCAGGGAGGCAGAAATATGACCAAAGAAAGAGGGAAAGAGGACAGAAAACGAGAAAGATGAATCAAGAGTGAAATTGATGAGCAGACAGAGTACAAGTAAATGGGACTAGATAAAAGATAACCAGTTAAATAAAAAAATAATTTTTATTCGATTATTTTTTCAAGCTATAATTTCTATTTATCCCCCCTATACTCCCATTTCTCATAAAATGCACATATTTCTCTTACAGATTTTTTGAAAATCAGGCTTATTGTAAAATACAGTAATTCTCAGAACCTCCTACTGGCACAAGTCATTAAAGCACAACACTATGAAGTTGTCTGCAGCTACTGAGTTCAATTCCTGGCCGGAGAGTTGACCCAAACCTCTGCCCCACCCACTGCTCCTCTCAGCAGTGTGTTTCCGTAGATCTACCTGTTCTGCTCCCCACTCTGGCTCTGGTGAATCCTCTCACCCCCCACACCTCTGACCTGTTATCTCAGTTCTTGTGTACATAATAATGTTTTTAAAAATACAGTAATTCTCACCATCACTAAGGCTTATATATTGGATGTGCTAATAAATCAATGGGTAGAATCCTTACCCAATGCATATCAAAACATCAGATTAGATACTTACATCAATCACTTATAACTCAATCAAACTGGAGAAAACCCCAAATTTTACATAATTCTAAATTTTTTCTTCTAAAGTAAAGAAGGATAGCACCAACAGGACAAACTTACTAGTGCAAGGACCTTCAGGAATTTATGTTTACATACCATTCACTTACAAAACATTAGTATCAGAACACAAATGCATTCTTAGTTTGAAATAACTTACAATTTATTGTGAAAATCCAGAAGTTTCTTTGTCCTATTTCCATTTTTTGCCCCCTTCACTTCGCTTGGTCTATAATGTTCTCTTTCTTCAATGGTTTGTCAGCAGCCATCAATATGAAGACTCCTTCTTCTGCTGCCACCTACCAGTTTATTTCTCTGCTGCAGCAGAAGGGCATATAAAAAAGTTCTTGCTTACTATTCAGATTAAATAAACAAAAAATTCATTTAATATTTCCTATTTTTGTGTATGTACTAACTTCCTCACTTTTCCCCCCAAACCTCCCCTCCAAAAGTCAAACAACAAAAATCCCAGCCACAGAAAATCAAACAATGTATGATCAATGGTCATGCTAAGCTGGGAAAATAAATTTTTTTTTTTAAAGTGGATTTAGACACCAAGCAGTTGCCATCCCAAGGAGCCATTTCCTTTCTGTTACATTTTTTTTCCTTTAACCATCCCTACAACCTTACAAATGAATGCATGACTCAAAATTCTAACAAGGTAGTCTACAACGTCTACAAATCTTAAGTTCAGAGACTACCAACTGTGGAAGATGCAGCAATAAAGTTTTTCAAAATAATTCTAGAAACTAAGGGTGTTAGGTGCTTTACCTGCTTGAGTTTTCAATGTTCTGGACTGCTTATTGCCCAATGGCTCTGAATACATTAAAACACGAACACATACGCCACCTACATTTAAAATAGGGTAGCATTTGTATGCCCATTTAAACAATGGGTATATTTTTTCAAAAGTAATAAATTTAATAAAGCCCTTTTAGAAGAACTGACCACAAAATGAACATTTCCTAAAACTATATACATACAGAGAAGAATTAGGGCGAAAAAGGAAGACAGAGTGACAAATATAATAGCAGTTGTAGAACTAGAAATTAACACATCAATATTTTTTGTTTGTTATAATCATGAGATTGATTTATATTTCAATTTTATCTGTCATTGGAGTTCAGGTTGCAAATTTTGTCTATATTAGCTAATAAAGAATAGTATTCAATGATGAACTAGTAAATAATAATGGCTTTTTTTTGCTCCACCCTCCCACTATCTTTACCCCCCCAAAAAATGTATAATTTTGACAATTCAAAAAATAAAACACACACTGACAAAACACCATAGGTTAGTGAACAGTGGCACTGCAGTGACATTGTTTCTACTTGCTCATTCCTTCCCCCGATCTCAAACCCCACCCTTTGACCTCTGTATATGGGATGAGCCTGAGCAGGAGAGTTGGTGATGTCAGGACTGCGCCGTTCCCGGATGCTCCTAGAGGCCTGCTGTGCTTCTGGGAACTGGGGCACAGGGATGTTTGTCTGACTGAAACCTAAAACAACAACAATTCACCCCACCCCTCATGTTCCGAAAACCCACAAAAGCAGCCAGGTATATATACTATATATGGCCCCTCTAATAAATTTGAATACAGTAAAATCTGAAAGCAGGTCATTCTTAACAAATCAGTGATATTCATGGGGGCAGCAGAATTAAATCTTGCATGTCCCACACAATCAGACAGTCCACATCGTATAATGCTGGACATTCTTGTTAGCAAGAGAACAAGGTTCTCCTAAATAAGTCTATACATCATAAACTACTGCAGGAATGTAGTTGGGATTCCTATGCTAGAAATTTTCAGTTCAAATCAACAGGAAGATATTTTGTCTTAAGATGCTTTGTGATTTGTTTCTTTTTAAGAGTGACATAAAGTTTAATTGTTTCTATTTCTGGCTGAAATGAAGCACAAAACAGCTTAATGATTTCATGCCTTCGGCTACAGAAAGTGCATTGCAAGTTAGCACTTACTTTTCACTAACCAGTGACTTACTGAATAGACATCTAAAAGTCACAGAATTACAGAGAAATGTACCTTGAAAAGATACTGGCAACTTTCACTAAAAAAGAAGGTAATCTCTCAAAATAATTAGTATTACAGCTAAAACTTTAGGAAAGATAGGGAAAAGAAGGAAAGGGTAGGTTGAATGGGGTAGACAGAGGAGGGAATTGCCTATGTATTAGCAGGCTATTAAAAATGGCTAAGGAATATTCTTGTTCCTATCTCGGACTTTGCTTTATACCTTTGGTTAATCTGTTTAACCATCTTGTGCTTCAGAAATGCCCTCGAATCTATTTAAATCTATGATTCTGAAATGTTTAAACTATTATTTTATGATCATCTCAAACTGCCCACAACTATCTCTTTATTGGAACTAGTGTCTCAGGAATGCTAGAATGAGTAGCTCTGAAATCACACTGCTGCTAAAATAAATTCACTCCCTTTCACTTTTATAATGCCATAGAAAGAGAAGCACTAAGATCAACTGGATGGATAGTGTGGTGCATTTTTATCAAATGTATAACCTAGTACCTAATTTTACCTTTGCAAAACACTAATTTTCCATACCTGTCAATTCCTAATTGATGTCTTTATACTGTGAGCTCACTGTGTATTCGGAACACCAACCTCTGAAAAAGCTTAAGCCAGAGTAGCACAATGGAAGAAACAAACAAACCCAAAACAAAAACAAAGCCAAAAAGTCACACTCTAAAATACTTCATTATAGACATATATGCAAGGAATGGAGTTACTAAATGGCTACAGCAAATTCCCAAAGAAATGCCTGAGTTCATCCCAACCAATTCAAATTCTACCCCCATAACTTCCTTTGTTTAATCAAAGCATTTGCTAGATATATTTATGCACTATTTTAAAAATGAGTTATTATAAACCCATGGTGCCTTTAAAGTACAAATAGAAAGGAAATGTTTTTAAAAAGTAAAGTTAGCCTTGTGATGAAAAGGAGAGTCAAATTACCTGCAGGCAGGCTGGGGTTGTGCCTGAATCCAAACCGCTGCCATTTACCACTCAATATACAGCTGCATTATTGGGGGAAGGGGAGTTTAGAAAGGCACTGACCCCGAAAGTTCTCAATACTTCTCACTCATCAGCAGGAAGGGGGAAGAAGGAAAGTTTTTTCTCTGGGTATATTTTTGTTTGTTTGTTTTGGTTTTTTGGCTCCTGAAAAGGCTGGCAAAGAACAGTAACAGTGCAAGCAGTTAGAATATTTCTTTTGAAACAATTTTTAAAATGCAAAACATTAAGGAATTAAAAACACCAAATTTTGTTAATATAGAAAGAATTTTTCACTAGAGTTAGGAAACCACCCCAAAACAGCATGGCAAAAGGGCATTGGTACAAAGGAAATAAAATACCACACAAAAAATCCAAAACAAAACTAAAAACATTTCAAATTAAACCTGGAAGACTAGAAGATTCCAACAGCAGATTTCTGTCCACTACTGAAACATTCCAAAATCCAAGCTTCAAAGGCGCCTAAATGTCTCTTAAATGAAACTTTGTTTTTGTTTTGTTTTTTTTTTTTTAAAGAAAAAAAAGAGAGAGAGAGAGAGAGAGAGAGAGAGAGAGAGAAAGAGAGCAGTGAACCTGGTTATAAATCCTGCAATACATTACATTAAAAAATATCCTATTACAACAAAAACAAATTTTAAATGAAATTAAACAAACAAACAAACAAATAAAAACAGTAGCAGCAGAGGTTACCTGTCTGAGCACCTACATTTTCTTAGGAGGGGATCGTGTCTCACCAGCCATATAGCCCATAAACCTTCTCAAAAAGAGTGAGCCAGGAGAAAAATGTAACACAAGATTTGATTTCACAATGTCTCTAAGCTCCCCAGGCCCCAAAATGGGGATTCAATGAATGAAGAGACTTTTTTTTCCATTGTTTTCTTCTTGAGAAAAAGGAGATGATTTTGAAAGTCAGTAACTTCTTTCACGGATTTGATGCCTTCAAAGTCTGATAAAGTGCTTGATGAAAGTAAGTCTCTTGATGGATTTTTCTAATGTTCCAGGGAATTTTCTTATTGAGAGCATATACAGAAAGATTTCAAAGTTCAGTGGAGTAAAAGCCAGCAGAAATATCCAATCATTTATACACACCAAAAGAAAAAAAACTATTAAAAATTTTAAATGAAATCATTTGGTGTGTGCATGCGTGTGCGTGCGTGTGAGTGAGAGATCATGGGCAGCATAAAAATAGAATCAGAAAGGAAATCTTTAAGAATACAATCCAGAATTACAACTTTTACAATACGTAATAATTTTACATTCATAGTGTGGCATCATAATAATTATACATGTTTTATAAACACACTTTAACCTCTCAGATTATACAAAAACTATTAAACAATATGAAAATATATTTAGCTTTTCACTTAAATATGTGAACTGTTTCAGTTGGGTTCTTCCAGAATGATTTGTTCATATTCTTTGACCTTAATTTTTGAGGGAATTCAAGAAGATATTCATGTTCTAAGTCTAAGATGACCATTCCTGCCCTTCTCATTCTACTATGTTAGTGTATGATTCAGAAATGGATTGATAACACTATATCTTTAAAATGTGTAAATGCACAAAAGATGAGCAAATATTGAATAAACTTAAGGTAGAATAGTTTCAGATTTTCTTATAATACAGTTCGCTAATCTGGTAAATTTTTTTGGAAGACTACCTTTTTCCTGGTAACTTATCCCATCCAACACAAACCTTGAGTTTTTCATCTAATATAGAGAGGGTGAGCTATTTGTGTTTAATACTCCTAAATCTATATGCATGTGATAGGTAGCTGTTCAAAATGTACATATCATACTTTATGTGTCAACCATATGGTCTCTACACAAACATATGATTTACTTTAGTAGTTCTTTCTATTCCAAATGGTATGCATCCTCCAAGTATGGTCACTCAGTTAAAGAAGTACCAAGTATTTCTTTCTGTTTATCAGAGGATTTATTTATATATGTGTGTATGTGTGTGTATGTGTGTGTGTGCATGTGTGTCCCCCACAATTAACACTTTGGCAAGTCAAATTGTCTTAAATGCAATTAGAATGTCCTAAATTAGAAACTCCTCTTATATATCTTTTTTCTGAGTAAAATGAGACACTACACAGATTAGAGGTACTATTCTATTTGTCAACAATCAACCTTTAACTCAACTTTAATATAATTTAATGCTATGGAAAAAACAATTTTTATTACATTCCTTTTTAAAATAGGGGGGAAAACTGTACAAGTAAGCATGATCAAACCTCTGTAAAAGCTGGTTAATACTGATGTTTTATTATTGCCTTGAAGTCTCTCTAACAGTGTCCAAGAAATTATGTTTAAGGTCCATCTGAAGGAAAAAAGCACTGGAGAGGCAAGAAAGGACTTGGGTAAAAGCTCCAGAGGATTGTAGGGAGATGAAACTTGCTGTTTAAAAAATTATGTTGAGCTCTGCAGCATCTCCATTTCTCAATACCTTCCAAACCCATCAGTGGAATAGTTTTACCCACGTTTTAAAGGCTCATATTATATGCAGTTTTGGGGCTTTTATAAATTCAGAAAGTAAAGGAATATAAAGAGTGAAGAGTTTTGAAGGCTTCAGAGTAGGGCTGTTAAGAGACTCAATACTGCTAAATAACTCCCCAAACAAAAATCTTCACCCCACACCACCCCACCCAAAAACCTATATGTAACAGGAGAAAATGCACGGCCAGAAGCATTGGAAAAAAGTATGTAGCCTTGAATAAATCATACACTGAACAGTCTAGACTGGAGAAAAAAACTGAACATATAGATATGTGTGTGTCTATATATATATGTGTGTATATATATATATATATATATATATACACACATATATGTACACACACACACACACACCATACACACACACAAAGACCTAGCAACATCTATTCTCCTTATGTGAGTACCTCTACCCCAGTAGAATATAGTTATGAAAACAACTGAAAAACTGTTTCCCATCATGCTCCACTTTCTAGAATCTATCCTTTTTGACTGATTGGTGTAAACAAAAGCAAAACACATACACATGCATGCGTGCATACACACATATATACTCCCTTGTAGAATGTGAAAAATGCAAACATATAAAGCTGGTTTCAGAAATTACTTCAGTCTATAGGCCCTTGATTCTCCCCCACCCCAAAAATATTTTTCCTCATCCTCATTCTCTAAATGCCCAACCAACAAAAGAAAAAAGGAAAAAAATAAAAGGCTCTAAATGCACATGTTTCAAGTCAGTGTCTTGTTAACAAAAAGGTAGCATTTTCTTCACTTTGGCCATTGTTAAATATGCAGGCATAGATTAGGGAATGTTAGACTAGCATGTATTAAAAAAAAAAAGCAACATTAACAGAGCATGTATCTTTCAAAAAAGACTAAAACACTAACAAATACAAGTCAATGTACATATTTTAAACTAGGGTAATTTTATCTACATTGGAGTAAATGTTATTTTGTGTACCAGACATTGCAATACTGTTCATTTTCCTTGTATCATGCAAACATGTCAATTTTTGTCCTTAAAAAAGCCTTTATTGGTTATATTCACCTTGCCCTCCCACCCAAACTAAGGGAAAAAAGAGAAATAAGAAACCCAAGTAAAAGGGCTCCTTAAGATTTCATAACCTATGAACATAAAGCACCTAGTAGTGGTAATAGCAGAATTTTCAAATTTGTATAAAATAAATTCCTGTAATTTAGATAGATGCTTGCAACACAATGTGTAATCATGCCATGCTGAAATGTGAACCAACTGTGCAAAAATAAAAGGGACTATGAAAAAAATTCATATGTTCTTCATGGCCTGAGAGCATAGGTATTTTGAATAATTTAAAAGGGTAACCAGGAGAGTGTAACAGCTCTTCTGCCTCTCTTACTATGGGATTTGTAAAGAAAGTCAGTAACAGCCTAATAGCAGAGGTCTTGTCTATTGCCCCCTCCTCTCTAGCTAATCGTATTCAATTTTCTCTCATCTTCCTGAGCATCTTCCATGAACAGCATTGCAAGTTGGTTTAAAAGGGGGTTGTGGAGGGGCGGAGGGAGAGAAGGGGGGGAGAGAAGAAAAGAAAGAAAGGAAATTTTACAAGGGTTTTGTTGGTTAATTATTTACCAGTGGAGTCACTCCACCAGGAGTTTGATTTCATTGGCTATCAGTTGGTTCATGTTGAATAGCCCCCCTGGGAGCTTGGTGAGCAGCTCTCGCTCCGTGCTTTCAGGGTCGCTGTCAACAGAGCTGGAACTTGCGCTCATGTTGTCAACAGCAGTGCTGGCTGGGGGACCCAGCTCCGGCTCACTAGTCTCACTGGCTGTGGACACCACGGAGAGCAGGGACATACGCCGAGTAAGCCGGCCAGAGGGCAGAAGGGAGGCGGCATAGTCCGCTATGATACCAGCTACATCTAGATTACAAGCCTTATCAAAGGCGATGAAACCTACATTTGCATTTGCTTCGCAGACACAGAAGGAGCCGTCATCTTTCATCAACAGGTCTATGCCACACACATCCATCCCCAGGATGTTAGACACCTGGATAGCTAGCTGCTTCCCTTGTTCACTCAAGGAGCACATCATCCCCACACCACCTGGGAAAAGAGAAGCTAAGTTATCAAAATTACACATTTTAGGAATAAACTAAAGCTGACATTAAAGACTCATCTTCTCTTCTAAATGAATAGTAAAATCACATTTGGGACTTTGAAATCACAGCTTGCTACATTAAGGAACCTCCTAAGTCTACAAAACTCTTGCATAATACATAAAACATACATGACAAAAATATTAACAATGTTAATTTCTAAAATATATATGTGTATGTATGTATAAAGTGATAGAGGAAAGGCTGGAATCTTGGAATATTCCAAGATTCCAAGTCATTTGACTTGATAGGACTCTTACTGTACAGCACCCAGTCCAATCCATTTAAAGTTGCTAAGCCAAAGAATTCTGGGGTTTAATGTAACTTCTTCATAAAGATGAAGTCTGGGGCTTTGATGGTATCTGAGAAAAGTATTAGATTTCCTTACTTGAGATATTCGCTTCAGGAAACTCTGAGATAGGACTAGAAAGTAAAGAATTTTGAGAACAGTTTGGTTTTTGGGCTCTGTTTCTCCACAGAAGTTAAGTCGACATCAGTATTACTTTGTGAGTGCCCCTGATGCCTTTGATGCCAAAGAAGACAAAACGTAACTGCATAGGTGAGCTGAGTCCACCTTACCACTGAGGCTGGAAGCATTACAGTATAAGAAAAAGTACTTCAGGAGGGGAGTAATACACTCGCCTATGAATTAAATGACTGCTTGAATTCATCTGGACTATTCCATATATCTAGAGAAGAACACTGACAGAACAAGTCACTAACAACCTAAATTTAAAAAGTACAAGCAGTTTTGGGAGTTTCAAGTTTAGCCCAAAAAGATTTTCTGAAACCAAGACAAAAAATTGGATTTTCCAACAAAGAACTTCAGTAGAGGAGATAAAGGAAAGTATAATCATTTGGGGGGACCTAGCTTATCACTTGGCAAAACAAGTGTAAGAAATACTTAGAAGTGCACACACAGGAAAACTAAGGTGAAATCACAAAAGTAACAAATGTGGAACACTGAATGAGGAAAAAAACTTATTCAGAAGAGGTACTATTAGAGGAGTAACAATTACGAAGATCTTTTTCTAAAACTAAAAGACAGAAACAGCTTACTAAAATTCAGTTTTATCTGATAGAAATATAAGAAACAACTCTGATCAAAGTATAAGAAACAACTCAAAAAGAATAAATTACCTCCCCTACTCTAAAATCAGAATAAATTTGGACATTCGATTGCAACACTGTAACCTAAAAGGCAGTATAACTAAAAGTATATTTTTACTAAGAATCAATATATCATTCTCCTCCCAAAAAGAAGACTACATGCAGGTATCTATCATTCACATAAACATTCAAGGAAATTAACCAAGGAAAGATACCCATATAACAGGAAATGGCTAAAAATAGACCTCAAGATATGGGGATCTGGTAGTGTTAAGTAAACAGTGGTGAGTTGATGATTGCTGTATAGGTATAATTAACTTTAAATGATCAAGAATACTTGGGAATGTGCCATGTTAAGAGTTATATAGAGATTGGTGAAACAGAACAGATATCAAATAAGAGAAATGCCAATACAGACTTGAATAAAAATTATTAAATGAAATGTAATGCCAATGAGAGTAGGGATTTTCATCTATTTTCTTTGTTACTATATACAAAATACTGCTGTAACATCACCACTTAGGTTTAACAGAAACAAATAGGAGGCACTCAAAAATATTCTCCAGGAATGAATCAACAAGGAAAAGTCAACCTGTTCTAAAATTCATGGAAGAAAGAGGGAATAGGGATAATGAGGAAAAGTGAAGGTAATCCAAGGATGTCATATTATGGTGAAGACATAGGGGGTCAATCAGATACCCAGGAATATTAGCAGGGAATTAAGATTGATATTCATACAGTAAAAATCACCACAAGGCTCTGAAAAACCCCATGCAGAGATGGAAATAAATACATAAAAAGACAGCATGACAAATAGATAATAAACAGACTATTGAATAAATATTGCTGGGATAACCACTTATTCATTGGGGATGGGGGAAGAATGTCTATCTCTTAATGAACATTATCAGTTTTAGGTACATTAAAGACCTAAACATGATAAGCAAAACTTGTAAAAGACTACATGTACAAGAATAGAGGGCCTCTCTGGTGGCACAACAGGTTAAATTTCTGCACTATGAAGCTATTCAGCAGTCACTGCAGCACAAATTTGATCTCCCAAATTTGATCCTCAGCCAGGGAGCTGACCCATGTGGCACAGCAGACCTCTCCTGCCAGGCCCACTGTTCCTCAACAGTGTATTTCAGTGCATCTGTCTGTTCTGCTCCCCCACTATGTCTCTGGTGAATCCTCTTGCAACCCCACACCTATGGTCTACACCCCAACTCTTGCATGCATGCATAAATAAATGAATCTTTAAAAAAAAAAAAAAGAAAAGAAAATGACTGTGAGTTAGAGAACAGTTTCTTAAAAAAAAAAGTTAAGTAGAGAATGTAAAAAGATAAATATGCTTGATATTAAATTCAAAATAACAAGTATTTAAGGCCATGAACTAGGTAAGACTACTAAGAAAATGAAATAAATATAGAAAATCTAGGCTAAACTCTTATCTTCTATTCTTACATATATGACTAAGGTATATAAACAAAAAGATAGCTCCAAACACATTTAGATTTTGAAAAAAAATCTCATTTAGTCCAGTGAGTAAAATGGGTTAAGATACAGGTTAAATGAGCTACAGTTATATACAAAGTATATGTATGCCTCAAAGTAAGTATGCCTCAAAAGATTAGACACTTAGCTCTGTTTAGATGGCTTATACATGTGTGAACTGGAATACTCATGGAGTCTAGATGAATGCAAATTTATGATTCAGAGAAATCCAATTTCATTAACAGAATAAACAACTCAAAAATATATACTTTTAATGGTTAAGTCTATTAATCATGTTGAATGAGGAAGGTAGTAGTAATGTTACTTATACTAGAGAGATAACTGCATTGATTTTACCTAGTGAGCAGTTGCTTTGCATCCTCCCATCTGTTGAGCATCGTAACATGGTGCCAACCACACGACCTCCCACAACAATGACACGCACATCCCGTCCATGAGACTCTTTAACATATTTCTGGAACAGGTATGGAGCTTCATGACGAATAAGATGGCTTAGATCTGCCAAGTGGTGCTTATCTCGGGCCAAGAATACAGCTTTGCCTATAATTAAAAAATCAAAATATATATGTAATTAATCAAACTGTGGGCAGCTGCTATCTATTGCCTCCATTTTCTAAATATCAATTTGATTTTTCAGAAGCAATTACTTTTTAACAAAAGTAATAGTTATCATAATTGTGAGACAATGCAAAAAAAAATAGTTACGAATCTCCTACCGTGCCCGAACTCCCAAAACTTTCAGCAATCTAAAATTCATTTCATAGTACATAACGTGAGGTAGAGGGTATACATCTGTATTACACTCCAGATAGCCCATAATGTCAGCCTACCTTATTAGCAAAACATACACCTTACACACTGCACTGTTTATCTATTTTTATGCCAACTGTAGTGTCTATTTTGAGTCATGGTTATAAATCTTTTGACATTCTTCCTATCAAGATGAGAGGGACCTATGTCTCATGTCATCAAATCTACTACTGAGACGAGGTCATAGGAAGTCATGCAGCTTCTTGTTTATTAAAGCATTCAGTGTAGAGGCCTGAGATTGCCTTGGCTGTCAGACTGTAGAGGTCTAATAACTGCAATGCAGTGAGCAATCCCAGCTGAACTTTGATCCAACAACCTTTTTATGTCAAAGTACTAAACCCTAAGAAGCATTTAGATTTAGGAATAGTTTTATGATTTAAGAAATCTTTCCTTAATCTAAAGTGATTGAGGTATTTTTCAGTGAGTTGGTAAGACATACTGTCTTCTACACCTTCATAGTTTTGCCTAAATTATTAAGTCTTTGAACTATATAAATTCAGGTGGTGGGGGGAAGGATTACTTAGTGATGTATGGTGCTTGAATTACTGAAGAGGAAGATAATGACAGTAACTTCGGAATCTGTCTAAATTAAAAACGCATCTTAAATTCTCTAGAATACTTGCTAAATGACCAGAAAGAGCTTCCAGTAAAAGTAAACAATAGTAACTTTCTAAGCTGTGGTAATGTGGACCTAACAATTTTCTTCCAATAATCTTTCAGATGTCTTGTTTCAAAAGTGAAAAATTTCAACCAGAAACAAGGATATTATCAAATCAAGAGCCATTTACAAGCAGAAGGGAAAGAATGATTGCTTTATCTGATTAAGAAAAAAATTATTTTGTTTTATTTATTTTCTTATTTATACCACCCTCATTAAGTCGAGTACATTCTAAATTATATACTATAGCAACAACTCATACACACCTCGATGACCCCGTGTATTCTTCACTACCATTGGAAACTCCAGTACTTCTGCCTCATCAATCATTTTAGCAAAATTTTCATGACCACCTGGTTTGAGCAACAAAGAGTAATTTAGTAACAACAACAAAGACGTTTTGTGGTAAATTTTATCAGCATTACAGAGAGAAACATGGGAGACACAGAAGGTAAGGTAAGAACCTAGTGGCTAAATTAGTTAATTTCAAACTAAACAACAAGCTTTCTAATTTTATGCCTTTTTCAAATTTTTATCCCAAGACCTCCCTCACACAAAAACCCAAGATTTACTTTATGACAATTACCTGTTTGGATTAAAAACACAGGACTCATTCAAGACTGGAAAGATGCTACAAACTGTCCTTTACTTCCAACCTCTCCTCCTCCTCCTCTCTCTCCCCTCAATATTAAACTCAATTATTTAATCAGTGTTTTCTACAGTGAATTACTCAGTACTCATGGATTAAATCTTGTTTCTTACTGTATTCAGTGCCCTAGAACTAATAAGGTAGTAAGAGTAGAGCAAATAATGGATTATACCAAGAACAGTTCATTAAACAAGTGTTATATCACAAACTTGTTGCTTACAAAAAAAAAATCAAGAAGATTCATCCTCCAAATTTTAAATCTTCAATGTTAGGTATAGAGAAAATAATTGCTATTTTGGTTAATCCTTTTCTCCTTTCTAGTCTTTCAAAAACAGAATTGAAGATTCATGATATAAGCTTAATATTTCAAAAGCAAAAGGAAGACACAATTCTCACACTAATTTTACAATGGCTAAAGACAGTAATTATGTTTACACAGGTCATTCAGCTTTGGTAAAAGAGTAAAAATGAGAAAAGCACAGAGATTTATTTTTGAAATCTAAGGCTAACTCTTCAAGCATTCCACTGGACATTTGAAAAATATCTTTTCAGAAACTGATTTAGAGATCACTTCTAGGCTTTTTGGCTAAGATCAAATGTAGAAACTTATTTCTAGGTAATTCTGATCCTTTCCAAGGTAGAAGAACTGGAAAGGCAGGAAATATAGTAACATGATATTGCTTACAGCAGTATTACTTAAAGTGTGGTCTAATAACCTGTATCTTTTGTGAATTCTTTGACATTGATCTGTAAACATAAAAAGAATAAGAAGACAGAGGCTTTTACATAAGCTATATTTTTATGGTACTTAAGAGTACTAACACAGCAGATTAGTCCGGGGGAGGGGGGGAAGGGGAACTAACCAGAATTTTGGTAGCATTGGTTTAAAGCATGCCTAGTGCAGGGTCATTCTCCTTAAAAACAGTGAAACAAAGATAAAGTACCAAGAAAATGGTAATAAATATAAGAAAGTAAAGATATCATCAAATTCTATTATTTTTTACTTCAGGGATACACAAACTAAGGCCTATAGGATAGATGTGGTCAATGTCTCCTTTTGTAATATATCTATTGGACCAAAGACATACTCACTCGTTAAAGCATTATCTACATCAGCTTTCAGAGCACTACCCAGGGTTACTAAGAATGTTACTGCAAAGTCCAAAATATTTACTCCTTGGACTTTTACAGGAAAAGGCTTGCTAATTCCATTCTTTTCATATAATAGAAATCTTAAGATTACCGCTGCTTATTTTGCTAAAATTAAAAGTTCCATTTCCATAATCAATTCTTTAGGAATTCTCCTTATATTACATAACCCTATTAGTATAGTATATCTTTAAAAACTATCACTGCTGTAAAAAACTTAAGCTATGCATTCTTTTTAGTGAACTTACCGTAAGAGAAAGTATCTGGAAGAGGAACACCATGGCCAGCCAACTCTTGAAATGTCCAGAACTTATTAACACAATTCAGGATGGCTTGAGGTCGGTTCATCAACCGACATCCCATTTTCTCTAGATGGCGCAAAACGGTGATGTCACTATCACTTTGCACCCAAGGGGTTGGTACTCTCACTACCACCACCTGGGGGTAGGCAGTAATTAGTTCTCCATTGATCCGTAGACCTGAAATACATAGGCATGAAGCCAGAGTCTTTAAAAGGGAATATACAATAAAATGGAGGAATAGAAAGAACATAGCCTGAGTCACAAAACTAAGTATATTTTGTAACCCTCCAATTGGAGCACAGAGACATTCTTCCTTCATTACATTACTTTGCATGAAAAACTGGCTAAATGTTATGACACAAGTCAACAAAACTACATACTACATAGCAACTGAAAAAAGTATGTCAAAGGGGTCCAACTAGATGGCTATAGCGTGACGAGTTCATCTCATCAGATACTCAAATAGAAGAAGGAAAATGTAAGATCACTACAATTAGAAATAATGGAGCTGGACTTCCCTGGTGGTCCAAGGGGGTAATTCTCAGCATTACGAAGCTAACCACAGTCATTGAAGCACCCAGTTAGGTCACTGGCTAGGGAGCTACCCACAGAGCAGAGTAGACCTCTCCTGCTTTGGCTGCTGCAACCCCCAGCAGTGCTTTTCAGTTAATCCATCTTTTCTGCTCCCTACTGTCTCTGGTGAATTCTTGCTCCTGCACCCCCACACCTCCGGCCTATACCCCAGCTCTTGTATGTGTAAATAAATAAATCTTTAAAAAAAAAAAAAAAAAAAACAAAGACACAATCACCGAAAATCATCCCAATATGGTAAATGAATCAGACACTGATCAAGAGGCCAAGAGTTCCAAATAAAATAATTACCAGACACAACACCAAGAAACATCAGAGCCACTGAGGCTGAAAGTACTTAAAAAAAGATTTCCAGTCCAGAATTCTTTTTAAATGTATAGATAGATAGACATACAGACAGATCGACAGATATACAGAGACACACATATATATACACACACATTGTTTATTTTTGAGCAATGTTTGTTTTCTTTTTTCAGGATAGAGCTCATAAAATGAACCTGGGAGGAGGGATTATGTCAGTGAAAAAAAGACAGAAGGAAAGAGAAAAATATTGATGGTTTCCTTTATAGGAAGAATATAGGGGAACCAAATATGGAAACATGAAAAAAAAATAAACAAAACTAACCAGTAACTAAAAATCAGAGGTATTTATTCTGCCAGGAGGGACAGAGATCAAAACAGGGGTCAGGGAAGAGCATAAGGGGCTGTGGTATTATGGTCCTGCCCAGAAGTCTTTACCCAGTAAGATTTACATGCAAGGCAGAAAAAAAGCAAGGAACTTCAAAGAAGTAAGTGACAAGTACAAATATTTCTGTCCTCAGGAAATAAGGTTCAGACAACTAATAGGTTCCTTTTTGGCTGGTTAATGTTTTTCTTCCAGGTTCTACAGTTTCAGAAGATTTTTCAGGGCTTCTAGAATTTTATTAAAACTTTAAGACTTTTCAACACAATTTTCAAGTAAAGGTGCTGTACACAATTAAAAACAGACAATCTCTCAAAATTAGGCACTCAAAGACAAATGGGAATATGTTACTAGGACACAGGAGATGACCAGGGATTTGACTGTCTAAAAGGATAATTAATTTATGACTAGTTCTAAAAATTCATGAAACTATGATTATGGCAAAAGGCGAACAAAGTCTCATTTGCTACCACTGGTGGGATTACAGCACAAATCCCTGATTAAAAAAAAAAAAAAAAGAGGAAAATTTTTATTTATCCCACTGTCTCAGGAGAAAAAATAGTTTAACAGTGAGAAAAGCCCTTCTTTGGAAAAGAATGCCAACTACCACAGATAGAACAGCAAAATTAGAAAAAAATACTTTGCAAGCCCCAACAAAATGAATGAATCTAGCAAAGGTCATCAAAATACTAAAGGCATGAAGGAAAGGCCAATGGGATATTTGCATAGTACCAAATATTACTTGCTAAGACAAAGTCAAAAATCATTGTAGCTGACAATAAAGAAACTCTTTCCTACCAGCTGTCTAATCCACTAATAAAAGTGGAACAGAGTCCCATTTTATGCCTCTGGCTACATGCACAATGAAGCATCAACCATTACTTGTTAAGTATCATTTTCACACAAAACTATCAGACAAATTCAAGAGCTTGAGATGATAAAGAACTGTTCTGAGTACTTCAAAAATTTGCGGTCGGGGCCCTCCCTCCCCGGTAGCCGAGGAGGTTAAAGCATAGCATTGTGAGACTATCAGCAGCTGCTTCCGTGCACGAGTTGGTTCCCCAGCCAGGGAGCTGACCCACATCGCCTGGCAGACCTCTCCTGTCACCCGATGCTCCCCTGAACAGTTCTGTTCTGCTCCATACCCTGTCTCTAGTGAATTCTCTCACTTGCCCCTTAGCCCCACACCTCTGGCCTGTACCCCAGTTCTCTATCCATAAATAAATGTATCTTTTTTAAAAAGTTGAAGTCACTGAATAAAAATTGTTCTGAAATTTAAAGGTTAAATACAGTATATCCTAACAAAGAGCATGAACTTAACCAGAGCCTGATTTGAAAAGAAAAACCTGAAAATTAATTTTTAAGATCAATTGAAAATCTAAATCTACAATATATATTAGATGATATCAAAACATACCCATTTTCTTAGGTATGCTACTGGTACTGGATTGTATAAGACAAACATTGAAAAGTATAGGATTATATTTGGAGAACACTGAAGTATTTCAGAGGTAAAGTGACAGAAAGATGGCTACAAACCTCTCCAAACAAAAAAGTCTTTATAAGGCTAATGATGAACGATATTAAAAAAGTTAAGAATTCATTCTTCTAAAATACATATTCCTTTATCTGTTTAACTGTTTTTAACAAGACACATTGTATTTCCTATCAAAATTTAATATCCTCAGCAATCCTTTTCCCCTCCAAATTTGTTTTCAAGTTTTAGCTATTAGAAATAAAATTTTTTCTTCAAGGTGTGCTCTTATGGGAATGACAAAAATAAATAAAATTCCTTTCCCAACTCCCTCATTTGCATTACAGAAAGAAACAAAAGGAAGACTCTAACAGTGTAGCTCATTATCATTGAGCTCTGCCGCATTGCAGCTGACAGTCATATGTTTAAAGAGAGAGAAGAGGGGAAAAAATGAGGGAAATAGAAAGCAAGCAAACAAATAATTGGATTATGATTGTCCATTCTGAAGGTGAAGTCTGACTAGGTTATTTTATTGTCAAAAAATATAGTCAAAATAACCAACTATCCCTAAAATTGGTAAAAGAGGGGAAAGATATATAAAGATAAGTGTGATTCCACTAAGTAAATTAAGTTTGTCACCTTATGCAAGTATTAATCCTACTTGAAAAGTTTTCAGGACCAAAACTGTTGGTGTGGTGAGATAGTCTTGGAGTGACCTTTACTAGTAATTTGGCTTGGAAAACTATGTATCCCACTCCTAGTCATAGTTAGCAAATTTACTTAAATTTTTATATACAAGGACTCAATATTAAAAGAAAGAAAATAAACAATTTTGTTTATTTAGCATTAACGTGTTTTTCCTTACTATTACCTTAATATCAATGAAAATTGAAAGCTGAAATCACTAAATCAATACAAATTATTACACTGTCTTTCTCCATAACAATTTTACATTTTAGTAAAAAAAAAAAAACAACTGTACAGACTATATAAATGGGAAAATGTATAACTTAAGTAACTGTTAGTGAAGCCAGTCATAAAGATACACTGTAGTCTTCCAGCAATATTCTTTAAGAAAAGGGGAGTAAGAGGGAAGAGACATTTTAATAAAAACAGAACTTTTAAATGTGTAATTCGACTATTGAGTTTGAAAAGGGTAAGCTTCTTTTTAACAGTAGCTCCTAGTGAAAAACAAATTTTTTTTAAAGATTTATTTATTTATGCATACAAAACTGGGGTACAGGCCAGAGGTGCAGGGGTGTTGAGAGGATTCACCAGAAACAGAGTGGAGAATAGGACAGGCAGATGATGAAGTACACTGCTGAGGGAAGAGCGGGCTAAGTAGGAGAGGTCTACTGCGCCATCCGGGTCACCTCCCTGGCCGGGGACTGTACACGGAAGCGTGTGCAGCCAGCTTTGAAGTGCTGCACCTTAACCCCTTGTGCTACTAGGGAAGGCCACCAGAGAGGGCCCTATATACAAATTTTTATAATGCTCTTTTGTAACCAACTTTTGATAACTAAGAATAACTCGTACAACTACATATTATCTATGACTTTTGAATACAGCTATAAAGATAAATGTAAAATATCTGTATACCGATGTAATTTTTCATTAGCTACAAATATGTAAGTTATGGAATAAGGTAATGATGTGTAGATAATACAGGGAAAAACAGAAAGTGAGTAAATTTACAGCAAGATTCTCTGGCATATAACAAGGACTCCATGTCTCATTCAAATCCTACCTCAATGTGCAACTTCAAGCAAGTTATTTACTGTCTCTTTGCCTCAGATTACTCATCTATAGTATAGTGGGAGTAATTCCTTTATAGAGTTGTGGTGAGGATTAAAGTGGTTAACGTAAATGAACAAGTGGCTGGCATTTAATAAGTATCTAATAGCTCTTACTCTTCACTATCACCCATTATGCCCTTTGGCAGACGGCAAACAAAGGTAAATTAGTACTACAGTGTTCCAGGGGAGTAGGAATCTTAACACCTTGTTTAGAGAGGTACATTTTCCACCACTACATGGCAAATAGTAGATGTTCAATTATCACTGACTCACTATTATTATTTACTGAAATTTTTTACTTACCTCATGGTTTTTAAGAAGTTGAGCTGGGAATTTAAGGCCAGGTTTGAGTTTGAAACTATACATCCTAAAACAAGACAGACTGTCCCTAAAAATGCCAGTCAACTCAAAATCAAAACACCATCTCAAAGATAAATTAAATATTAGTATCTAAAAACCCAATGTAGAAAATTAAAAACAGCAGGAGTTAAACATAAATATAAAAGACTTGTCAACCTAATAGCTGATCCCTAGAAAACTAATAAATCTCTTAACTTCCTAGACAAAATAATCTAGGGGAAAAAAGAGGGCACAAATAAGGCAAAAATGAAAGGAAAATATATTTCCTGCA